GGTACTGGGAGTTGGATTGTGGCGGTATAGATGTGGGGGGGGGGGGGAAGTGGTTTGTCGGAGGTGGTAGGGCTCTGGGGGGGTTGGGTAGTGGAAGGGGGAGGAGGTTGAGCTGGGTAGCCGGGGGACTGGTCTTCCATTCCAGGCACTGGAGGAGGCTTTGAAAAGAAAAACAGAAAAAGCTATTTCAGCAACTATTTGAAAAGTAAGAATGTAGTAGAAGCTACAAAAAAGATTGGGGCCTTACACCCCAAGTCAATTTCACCAAATGTTCAAACTGTTATTACCAAATAAGGGCCATAATAATACATGTGACGTTATTAGGGGATCTGTGAAGAACTTCTAATTCCAATACCTGTCCATTAGGGGTGGGAGCCCCTGGGTAAGGCCCTGGGGGTGTACCATACTGATTTGGTGGATATGCAGCTCCATACTAAAAAATACAGAGAACCCCATTTTAGGAGATATGAGCCTTGTAGCAAACATTGTTTAATGCAGTAAATGAATTTGTATTAAATATTATTATTGTAAAATATTGATAGGAAACAAATCATGATTTGTACTTACTGGAGCCACGGGGTAGTAGTAATTATAGGGGTATGTGTATCCAGGATAATGCTGCTGAGTTTGCTGGTACCATGGATAGTACTGCTGCTGCTGCTGCTGCTGCTGAGGTGGCTGCTGCGGTGTCTGAACGGCAGCTGAGTCAGTCACTGCTGGCTGAAATTGACCGGTCTGAAATTACACACATACATAAATAGAATTGTCATTTTAATCCAGTACAAAAATCAAGGATCCGTTTAAATCACATACCAAAAATGACTCCTACTGATTATAATGCAACATTAAGTTTGTAGTGTGTTACAACTGCATCAAATTAACTTTTGGTTCCAAGATATATGCCTGGATGTAAACCACACTAGCAACCATTCCTGAATATGAGACGCAACGATTACTGGACAAACTTGCACTCCAAAAAATGCATGATGATGGTTTAATGTAGTCAGGACATGCAAATGCAGTCACTGCAAATGAGCAGGCAAAATGGTGCTGGACCTTATTTTCTTTTTTGATATCTAGATGTTTTGTGTCGATATTTCTATTTTTAGATCTCGGGTTGTCAGCAGATCAACTAACATGCATTACAATGCCAACTCAAATAACAGATAGAGACACAGAGCTAAAAGCACACCTCTGCTGTGGCTGTCCGGTTGGCTTGTGCATTCTTAGCAGCGCTCTGACTCTTGTTAATGGACGCTAGTGCTTGTCTTGCCTTCTCCCATTCTGGGTTTTCGTGAACCTGGCCATCTCGGGCACCTCCAAAGGACCTGCCATCAACAGAAGAACAATTGTGTTTAAGGAATACAAAAGTTTTGATATGATCAGTTTACAAGTATTGAGGCTAGGTATCACAACAGTGATAATCTAATAATAACACAACTAACATGATATTAAAACAAATGTACAACGTGTTAACTGAACAGGTTTGGTGTATCGCGTTCTGTTTTGCTTTATACAGGCGTAGCTTGTACGACAGCTAACAGTTAACAACTGTATGTTCAAACTGTTACTTTCACTGTGACCCACTTGGCAGTTGACGGAACGTTCTATTGCATCTACTGTTAACCGTTGCCTAATCACCCTACCAACAGCTCTCCATGTTACTGTTAGCCTGTGAACGGGAAGCCATTACTGTTCAAACATGAAGCGTTAAGATACGTTGACATTAAAGATTGCTACGCCAAACCCTATCGTTCATAACGAAATAATAATTAAGTACAGTCTGAACAATAAAAATGTCCACGTTAAAAAGCAAACGGGTTAGCTTTCGGTAAACAAAACCTATGGCCTGTTGTAGCTAGGTATGCTATCTTTAGTCAACACCCTCAGATGAGCAAAGGTTATTTTTAGGTATAGTGAGATTATAGAAGGCTATGTCTACCATATCATACCATGTATTAGCCTTATAGATTTGAACTACATTATATTTATGTAATCCGACATTTGTTGTGAGTTTCCTATTGCTAGAAAGGGCGACCTACCAGTTTGTTGTAGGGGCTGTTTGTTTCGTGTTGGCCGCCATTTCAGCAGTCTCTAGTTAGCTTTGGAAAGCTAACGCTTGGACCGTTGGTCGCTAGCTAAGCTAAGTGTCTAACGCCGTTAGCTTTCCTGCTAAGGCAACACGTAAACAAGAGGACACGACGATACAAGAACAGCAGTCAGCCGACTGCTTCTAATGTCAAGATATCCTAACAAGTCAAACTGTAATTTGGTTTATTTAACGGCGCAAACAAACATATGTAGTGGATAAACGCATATTTGCTTCCTTTTTCGTCGATGACCAACTTCGTCTGACAAGCTGGAGAGATACAAAATGGTAGATAAGTCAACTGACGGTGTTCGGTAAGGTGCTTTGGTGCCCAGAGTAAATTCTCTCAGGAAAAGCCTCCTCTCTTGTTACTCAACCTCATTTACCGCCCCCTACAGGCTCCACCAATCACATTTCAATCCTTAGGTTTAGGTTAGAGACGCAGTCATCGACTAGTCACGAGCCTGTCAATCATAGCACATGGGATTGTATGTCAATGCCTGACAGGCACAACACAGGAAATAACTCCCTAAGGTTATTCACTTTGGAAGCGTTACGGAAATGCACTTTATTCTAGTCATAAATTAGCAGATGTGGAAGAAGTATTCAGATATTTTACTTTAGTACAAGTAGAAATGCTGCAGTGTAGAAATATAACTCCGGCATTCAAAATCTGAAGTACTAAAAGCATTATGATAAACATATTATTTGAATTATTGTATTTGCATTTAAATATAATTGGACCATTTAATATATAACCACTAATCCATATTATATCCCTAAATGCTTAATGATCATTGATGTATAAGCATCACTAAAGAGTAAGCTGGAAAAAGTAAGACCCATTTAACAACTCTATATACAGCTATACTTTAATTATATAAGGTTAAAACATAAGTTAATGAAAATATTCAGATACCTCCATATTCCTTTCTATCTATCTATCTATCTATCTATATTATCTATCTATCTATCTCAAAACATAAATCACTATGATTGTCCATATTTGTGAGGCTGGTTTAATTTTACCCTGTCACAGAGACATAATCTTTTACCTTGTGTTATTCAAATTAATAGATTTTAGGAATTCTCACTCATCAGGGACTTTATCTTCCTGTGAAGCACACAGCTGCAGGACGTGTGTGTGTGTGTGTGTGTGTGTGTGTGTGTGTGTGTGTGTGTGTGTGTGTGTGTGTGTGTTGTGTGTGTGTGTTCTACGACTGTATTACAAAGAGGGGAGTCATATCCTGTCACAAATTCTCTCCCACTCCTTATCCCTCAAATCATTCATGGTTTTTGGAGGTCTCTCTGCAACTGTTTGCAGTGCAGCCACAAACTACAGGGCTCACAATGTCTTCATAGAGATACAATCCATTTCAGTACCAAAACAAAACACTCATTCAACTAATTTCTGTGATTTATAACGTTTTATTTAGCACTTTTTAGTTGTATTGCATTTTAATACTGATACACTGTACAATAAATTCCATGATGTTGAAAAAAGTCAACATACATTTTTTTGTATTTGTTGTATTTGTGGCCTGGCGTCAGAATGCAAAGCTTCCAAGTAAATGAAACAGTAATTGGTAAACATTTCTAGACCATTTCTCACAGTGCATGATATAATGTGTCTGTTAAATGAATAACGTGTTCTCATTGTTGTGCTGTTCAGCTACATCATCACACAAAAAATGTCGAGCATCTGTGACACGATCTCAGGAACAATGACTCACTACCCTGCACCATTGTTTTAATACCTGGGGTTTGGTAATGCTTCTGTTTCTTTAACCCATGAGAGGAAGCTGAACTCTGAAATAGCATCTCTACTCCACTTCTGTTGTTCATCCAAATCCAGGCTCTCTCTAGTTTTCTGTTTTAAAGAGGATTCCTTTTTGAGAGTGAATAATTGTGGGGGTTAAATAATTTGAGTTAATTATGCAAAAGTTTACAAAACGATGTTGTTGACATGCTAAGTGGTGCAATACAGCAGGGTTAACTTCACCAACTGCATTCCTTCAAGACTTCAGTCTATAAGTATAGTCAAACCCTTCAATAATTGTTTGGTGAATCTAAATGTGTTGAACGTGAAAACCAATTTTTCACATTTACATTTAATATTTTAAGATATTTTTCTAGGAATGTAGGCATTTATTATTTTAAATATTGAGGAGTTTACATTCATTCACATATTTTAGTCTGATTCCAGCATTTTTTTCAATATTTTATTTCTGTAATTTCCATGGATGTCTCCTGGACATATCTGTGTAATCAGCATATCTGTGTAAAGCACCAAATACAGGAGAAGAGACAACGCTGAGACAATTAATTTGGGTTGTGTTTAGTTAATATATTGAAATACAATATTCTATATTTTAAATATGTCATTGATCAGAGTTGCAATGTGTACACATTTTGATACAAACTACAATATAACCTATACAGGCTTTAAATGTTTTTTTCAAAAGTGAATCCCAAATAATTGTACTCTTTTAGAAAGTAATTTGTTATTAGTGACAGTATTGGGATCAACTTTATGGTTTTCTCTATAGATCAACAAACTAAATATATTCAGGGTAACAGCTTAGCATTGTGTGTGAATCCAATTAACTTTTAAACAGAAAAAAATAGGCTTGTGAAATATTAAGCTCTTTCATAATTTCACGTGTTAATTGAAAAAAACTAGTTGAGGTTAGTAGGCTACAGTTTAGTTACATTTTAATACACATGTTCCTACAGTTAATGTTGTTGCTTGATTAATAAACACGTGGCTCACAGCTATAACGTTACATTGAATATACTCTGTCTCGCAGTGTGTTGAGAGAGGCTGTTGGTCTCGTTTGAGTTTAACAGCGTCTTTTAAAATCGACAGATATTTTAATCCAGCTCTCCCCAATAACCGTCGCGTCACTTCCTCAGCCCATGCCCATCCCTTTGGAAGGAAAAAAAGAAAACTCTCACCGACAAACGACGGCGAGAAAAAGAGCGAGGGAAAAGCCGAGAGGGAAGCTAAAGTCAAAAAGCCAGATGAAAAAGTTGGATACTGAAGAGCGAGCCAACCAAAGAACAGAGTATTCCCGTTAAAGTAAGTTTTACACACTTTTAAAGAGTCGCTGCCGCTCACTCAAGTCTATTGATCAGTTTTACATTGATCCAAGCGGTCACTGCTTTGTCAATAAGTGTGTAACCCTCGAGTGCTTATTATTAAATTATAGCATGTATTTTACCAATTCAATACACAATTTACTTTAACTATTAATGGAAAGTTCTGGTAGTAAGGGTAGGCCTGTCAGCAAGCCCCCTCCCTCCCAAAACTAACTCTCACATACACTCAAAATAAGGTCTTCTCATTTTCAGTTTCTTTTTTAATGTATGATGTTGATTGATAAATTGTCATTAAGGTGAGCTAGCCTGAAAAACTTGTCATATGTATGAGGTAATATTGGCTTTACACTCTGTAATTATTATTAACTTGGAAAGTTACAGTCTTGTTTTCATCCGCATACACCCCTGAGGGGAGAGAAAAGTATGTGCTAGCGTTGCATGAGTATGTTTCAAGTACAAGTCTCAGCATGGCCTTCACAGCCGCTCCAGTGCCAAAAAGCTCATTGGTGTCCCGCAATGTTGCACAACATGGCTAAGTGTTGACGCTGCCCTGTCTTATCATGAGGCAGGACTGGGGCTTCAGTATTTCAGTTTATCCTGCAAAATGTCTGTATTACACTATGTTATCTCATTGATGGGTTATTGCTCATTGTAAATAAGAATCTTCGCCCTGTTTAGCCCCCATATTCATCTCTTACCTCAATCTGTCTACAGTCATGCCGCTGCACAAATCAACCCGGGCACCTCGCCTGGACCCCACCATGATCTCAGCCCCACTGGGGGACTTTCGCCACACCATGCACATTGGCAGAGGAGGCGATGCCTTTGGGGACACCTCCTTCCTGTCCACTCTTGGCCCGAGCTCAGCCAGCACTGACCCGGAGGGTTCAGGGATGACGCCAGCTGGTGATTCTCAAGTGGAAGTCAACCACAGTGAGCTCCATACTGACGCTCCAGGAAGCCCACAGGACTACGAGCTCAAGCACTCTGAGTCAGTGTCTTCCTTCGACATGGATCTGGATCTAGGCCCGTCCATGCTGGGGGATGTGCTCGGGATAATGGACGGTTTGGGGCTTGACTCCAATGAGGAGGATGTGTTCAACCCCAAAAGTGGCACATCCCTGGTGGAAGCACAGCAGGGAAAAGGGGTTATGGAGAAGTCTGTAAACATGCAGAACGAGCTGAATGGGAAGAACTTGGTGGGGTTGGATGGAAACCAGGTGGGAGACAGCAGGATAGCAGATGGGAACGGGTTCAAGCCCAAGGGGTTACGACCAAAAGTGCGATTCAGTGACAAACGAGAGGAGATAATTCGCCAGGCATCTGAAGAGGAAGAGGGTCAAGGGTTTGACTTCCAGGATGAGGAGCAGCTGGTGGTTCGTAGTCCAACGAGGGGTGAGAGTGTAGTAGGTGCAGGTGAAACCGAGGTCACCAATCACAAAGTAGATTTGCCACCTAGTCCGGCTTCGTCACATAGCTCAGAGTACGAAGGAGTCACCTCATTGGACAGGAGGAGGGTTGACAGCGGCCACTCAGAGACTGATACAGAGGAGGAGGAAGAGGAAGGACGAGGCTACACATTTGAAGATGAGTTTGATGATGAAATCGGTCTATAGGGGATAGGTACAGTTTCCCCGTAAAAACAGATCTTTGCTGTCATGTAAATCAAGTAAACTGTATTTTCTTCTTTCAGCATCATTTTAATGGGAGGCTTAAACAGAATGCAAACTGGATTTTTAAAAAATGATTTAGTTTGACGATGTTGCTCAACTGGAAGAGACATTTTATGTTTTATCTGTGAAGGTAACAGATTCATTTGATCAGAACATTCATGTTGTTTTTTAGGTTATTGCAGTGGAAGGTTTGTAGCACTTTGATTTATTTCAATGACCTGGAAAACTTTGCTGAAACATACTAAGTTAATGATGCTTGCGGTAATTTCCATGTTTTCTTTATTTTCGCCATCCGAAGCACACGGCAGGTGTTTGAGCTTTATGTTACAGTGTCTTAAAGAGAGCTGTATTCTTACATTATTTTATCATGTGCTATATCAATGTCTTCATTATTATTTCTCATACTGCATGTTTATTACAATCTCCGTGTCTTTTCTTTATGTTTAATGCATTTGTCAAGCTTTACAAATGGCTTCCAGAGACATTGTCAGAAAATAAATGTATCCTGTTTATTTACTGTGAATTTGTCACATTCCTAATCTGACAGCGTGTTTCTCTGGTTCAGATCTGTTAAACATTTTAATTGTGCAATTATTAAGCATGTTTTCAAGTTACCAAAGCTCTTCTTTGGGCTGTGGGGCTGGACTTTAGTATAATGCTAAGACAATCATGGGATTTATAGGTCATTGTAAATTAGGACCAGCGATGTATTTTTGTAAATGTTTTTTGCTTGTATAATGCTTGTATTTTTTTTAAAGGTATTTTATTTCATATTGCTGTAAAAGGGAGAGACCATTATCCTCATCTGTTGAAATGCTGGTTTGAACACGTTTGTTATATTGCGGTTTAAAACACGACAGTGAAAACAATAAAACAATTGGGATTTTTGAAATATTCATCAGCCTTTGATTTTATTTAGAAATGACTCCTAGGTGAACATACAACTTTATAGTACTCAGTTTTAATCTGAGGATTCATTCATGTATAGCCACTTCCTTATAAAAGTAAGTATTTGGTTTCCTCTAGTACTAATAAAAAACACAGTATACAAGTCTCTTTGAAAACCTTTTAAAGTAAAACAGCTAAGAACAGCTTTAAACATGTTTTTGTAAGCATACAATATCAAATGCCTCAAATAGTTTTAACATCTGTAAAACATACAGACTGAAAGTTCAAAGACTACAACACCATATGGCATATGTGTTTGCCAATAAATGGCAATCAGAAGAAATTACCTGAAAATCCGAGTTATGTACATTATTACAGGCTCCTTATTGATGACATATTAGAGTTTACTGTTCATTACACATTAGATGTGTATCACTCATGTAAATGCAAAAATAAAATAAAATAACATGCTTCTCTCTGAAACACACACTACACAGATATTGTCCTGAACACGTTGAATCCTGACAGCGCCGTGGAGATCATCACTCCAGGTAGCTGAGGGTGCCAGTGGATCTCCTTGATCTCCGACTGGCCCTGGTGCAGGAAAAGCAGCTGGGGGGGCAAGTCCTTTAACCCCTCTACCCTGGCACCCACATCAGATGACTCCACAGACAGATCCCACTGGCTGACGACGTCGTCGGCTCCCGAGGCGGCGAACACACTCGAGTCCACAGGGCTCCACTCCACAGACGTGATGGGAGCGCTGTGCTGCTTGAAGTTAGCCACAGGACGCCCAGTCTACAGGTACAAGAGGAGAAAGATGCGAAAAATTGCTCAAATTTCTGGCAGTATGATCCTTCCATTTACAATTGTCCATTAAAAAAGGCAAAGAAAGAGACGGTAATATTTACGATTCTCATTATCGGTTAGTGCACAAAAGCCTTGATTTCAAAGTGTTCAAATGGAAGCAAGATGTTATTGAGACACAAAAGATGTACGAGTATGTTCAAAGGCAAATTCAAAATGGATTCCTGAAACAGTATGAGCTTAACTGGGGTAAAGACACACTGTTGTGTAACAGGCACAAGACTGAACAATGTGATTAGTTAGGTGCGCCCGAATTGTGAAGGCATTTCTAACGGTGTAATACAACAACAATGTGGTCATATAACACTACTGATGGGTTATGTGGTTGTGATAACACTCACTGGTCAAACATTAAGCATTTATAACTCAGAGTTGTATCATATGAATGACCTTGCAAGAGTCATAATTTAGTTAATGATTTTTAGATATGCAAAAATAACTGTTGGTTTTTACCTTAAACTGTCGAAGGTCCCATACTTTCAGAAGCCCATCGTCCCCTCCTGACAGGATGAATGGTTCGCTCCTGTTCCAGCTGATCACATTGACATCTGATGAGTGAGCTTCATTGGCAGAAAGCATGGAATTGGGAGGGGCACGGATATCCCAGACACGAACCGACTTATCAACCGAACAAGATGCAAAAACCTGAGGTAAAAAAAGAGAGAACACATGCTGAGATTTGAACCTTCAGATAACATTTAGCAACAGAAGTCTTAAGGCGACTTCCCAAACAATAAAGCCTAATGCATTTATTTTTGTTCAGTCTTTTTAGTGTGTAAGAGTTGGGCTTTTCGTGCTCATTATTTGATGCTTTTTGTGTCCAAAGAGCACCACCCATGTGAGGCAGTAGAATTCACATCCACAGATCATAAACTAGTTTGGTGACTAGTTAAATTGCTTTCACCTCCATCATAGTTCATTCATTCCAATCATCTCACCGCACCCCATTCTTCCATCCAAACACCTGTAGCACTGGTGAGCAGGGAGGATAACCCTGACATTCATCCTCTGGGTTTCAATCATCCTAAATATTTAAGGTCAATGAGGCTAGTTCAGCTCTAAAGTCAGGGGCCAATGAGAATTCCTAACATGCGTGTCAATCAGTGGCGAACCGTCAGGGCCTTCAAGGTATTCAGAGAATACCCTGGAACAGTCAGATAAAAACAAAAAATCGATTTAATTATATAAATAAAATGTAATAAAATGAATAAATGAGAATCGTATCTGTGTTGTTGATCTGTAATATTACAGTGTTACGTTGATTTGTTTGTCCTTCTCGGACCATGCACTGCGCATTTCAGTGGTTTTGTGTTAGAAAATAAAGTAACCAATCAGATCTTGTTCTGGGTCTCTGGGTAGAATATCCTTCAACCAAGGTATTCTACATCCTTGATCGAATGCCCTGGCCGTTGCACTGAATGAGAGCGTACGTTTGGACTGTTGAGTTTGATCAACCAATCATATATTGATTTGTAGCCAATGGGCGTGTTCTTCCAGAGTTTCCCTCGGTTCCAGGGTATTCTAGAACAGGGGTTCCCAACCTTTATTGTGCCAAGGACCGGCAGATACATTAAAACAAAATCGCGGACCGGTTGTCAATTTTAACTGATTTGAATATTTACTCACCAGCAGATAGCAACAGAGGCTAAGTGTATGTAACAGCTTGAACAAATACTAGAACAATATGCATCCAAACCATACAACGTTTAAAAAAGAACCAGTGTCGTTTTTTGGTTTTTCGGAAAAACCGACATTATTCAGTTTTTAAACCAAAACGGGAAAACAGATAAATCAACGTTTTGGTTTTGTTTGTATGATTTACGGATAATCCAGTGATGGGAAAACGAGGAGAAGGCGCATTATGAAGGAGGTGTGTGTGACACTGGCATTTGTTTTCAGAAGATATTATGATAGTGACGTTCGTTCCGGTGCGCGTCCGACAGCATTTAGCACTACATCGAGATTAAGAATAAACTAATATATTTTGGGAACACCCGCATATAGGCTACCTATGGAGTTAGCCAGATGTGTGTAAATTACTGGACACACACACACACACACACACACACACACACACACACACACACACACACACACACACACACACACACACACACCACACACACACACACACACACACACACACACACACACACACACACACACCACACACACACACCACACACACACACACACACACACACACACACACACACACACACACACACACACACACACACACACACACACACACACACACACACACACACACACACACACACACACACACACACACACACACACACACACACACACTAATAAAAGGGGAAGTAATCGGGCAGTTCGATGTGTGTATAGAGGTGTGTGTGTGTGGTTAACACGTAGCAACCTGCAGTCACTCTTAAACTGTTCTGATGAAGGTAAACACTGCGAAGGCGGTGCGTAAAAAGGCACAGCTCTCGGCGCGCTGGTGCTGCACTTCTCAGAGGCGGAGTATACGTTCCGCTGCCTCCTGATGCTGCAGCCATTTCATAAAGTGAAGGAGGTTTTCCTTCAATAAAACAGCTGCGGGCAGCCAGACCCGGCGTCATGGGCGGGCCCCATGGGGCCGGGCCCGCCCATCCAGGATTTTGGGCCTACTGTTTTAATCAGAATACCACATTTTGATTGTTTATTATTATGTTTATTTTTGTTATTTGTAGGGCTTTGTCCTAATATTTATTTTTGTATTAGTTTAATATCATTTTTTTATTTTGCTAGGAAATTCTGAATTAAAGGCTGCACGCAAGACTGGTTTTTCGCTGGGTTGAGTCGTGTGGGTTTTTGAGTGAGATGCGGCACAGCAGCCTGTCAGTTAGTTTACTCTTGCTAGTGATTCACGAAAGGAATATGGCAACTCAGCGCCAGATGCAGGCACATTAGAAGAAATCAGTTAGGCCTACGTTACCAACGAGCAAGCAAGTCAGCTGGCAATCAATTATATTTTGAAGAGAAATTTACTCTCAAGCCGGCTCTCTCACAAACTCCTGCTCTGTGCGCAAGCAGACCGCTGCACAGGCTCTCTGCCTCGCTCAATCTCTCTCTTTCTCTCCATCGCTCAACCTCACTCCACCTCTCCACCCTGTGTGCGCTCAAGTTTGCCTACGTGCTTGCCCAAGTTGGCACAGCGTTACAAATGTGCCACAAAACCAACCAATGGATACATAAGACCGTCAACAGCCTTATGGCAACCTAAAACCCCTCTCTTTCAACAATTCACGAGCGCCTCCCTCCTCCCCCCCGTTGACAAATCGCGAGCATCTAACAGACCCCCCCCATCCCCATTGACAATTCAGATTTCCCGGGAAATGTAAGTGTCGTGGTGGGCCCGCCCTGGTAAATCAAATGCCCGCCCAGAGATGTATGTCTGCCGCCGGGTCTGATACCGTGAGAGTCCCGGTCATGAATTCATAGATCAAGGCAGACTGGTTTACTCTCCTGTTTTGCCAATCCGGTGCTTAAACAAAGGCAAGGCAAGTTTATTTATATAGCACTTTTCAACACAAGTGCTTTACAAAAAAATGAAAGACATTAAGAAAATGGCATTTAAAATCAGTCATTAAAAAGAAAAGCTAATAAAATAAACATATAGCTCTACACCCCTGGCCGACATGTCCTTAAAATGAAGTCCGAGTTTGAAATATATCTCAAATAATGTATGCACTGCCATTTCCCCACATAAACATAACAGTCTGCAATTAAACGGTTGTCTCCTGTGCGCTCCTCTTCCTACTTGGCGCACCAGTAACTTTCTCGTGCGCACAAGAGGCTGAGACCATAGGCTGATCCGCCGAATCCCTCGGAACATTATAAAAGCCATTTTCAACGGTTATCTGGTGAAAGATTAACTAGGCTACTGGATGAAATAATATGACTGGTATAGGTGCGAACATTAAAACACTTTTTGAAAAAGATATTATGATAAAATATTTTTATATATTTATAATTCTGCAAATATTACGATAAACTCACAGCTATTTCGCGGCCCGGCAGTAACACCTCCGCGGCCCGGTACCGGTCCGGGGGTTGGGAACCCCTGCTCTAGAAGGCCCGCTAGTTAACTGGCTCGAGACAGAGGATCTAGATGAATGCGACAAAGCAATTCATGCCGTTTTATTGTATTTAACGTTGAAATGACAAGTGCAACAGGTGAAGATGAAGTTGTTGCGGAATTGTTGCGAGTACCCTTTTCAAGACGACAATTCAGTGAAAATACGGACATTATAATGCCGCGGAGGGGGGGGGGCGGGGTGTGTGTCTACAGAAGGTCCAGTTGTGATAGACACGGTTCGCCACTGGTGTCAATAGACATCATGCATGTCGAACAAATTGCATGTACGTATTTTTGTTGGGGAGGAAAACCAGAACAAAACATAAATCCCAGTCGGCCCTGGTGGGGGTGGACAGTGCATAAAGGAATATTTTACCCAAAACATAACCATGTCAATTACTAATCCTAGGTCACTTTGAAGAAGAAATCTTTAAATGTTTTGACATGCTTCCAAAGAGAAAAAAAAAAAAAAAAAAAGTCCTGCTTAATTGAAGCGAAAGCATTTAACACATGCATTAACACTAAAACCTTACCCTTTAAAACCCTTTGCAAATGTGAGCATATGTGTTGAGCATACTGAAACTCTGGTTTGACATTTTGAACATTTTTGAAGGTCCTTAGCACACGCTTAGTTCGCTAATGTCTTAAAAGCATCTGGATGAATGGGACTTTGATAAAATTGCACAAATTAAGTGACTGTCTGAAAACAGGTGTTGTGATTTATCAAGACTTATTCACTGTGGATCGGCCCTTTGATACCGAGCCTGCATGCTGCCCGCTAAAGCTCTTCTACAGTACCTCTGTGACTGATAGTCCCTGTTTTCTAAATAAACTTACTGTAGCTTCAGTGGGCGACCACTGCAGATCTTCCACAGACTTGCTGTGGGAGCTGAAAGCTCGTTGGTCAACCTGCCATGAAGTCCCTCCCTCTCGTGGCTCCCACACATGGATGTTCTTTTTGCAGTCTCCACTGACAAGACGACCTGTTAATACAAGAACAAACACAACACCTTTTTTTATTTTAGGCTGAAAACAGACACATTCACTGAGCTGTGTAAAGTGGCAGGCCCCACACAACTTATTGCACTCTTCTTTGTGTTTGAACACGTTACCCTCGATAACAAGTGTATCCGTTACATGCTTTTAAAAAAGGACACTGTACTATATATTCATTTCCTTTTTTACCTCTGCCAAGGAGGTTGTGTTTTCAGTCCTGTTTATTTTTATTTTAAATTTTGAAAAATAAACCAGGTTCATATTTCATTTGCTGGAAGTTGAGCCATGTGCAAATTAAATCCACTTTTTGAATCTGGATGAACCAAGTGTTTAAATATGTTTGGACATAAAGAACTTGTCATTTATAAGCTATCAAGTACGATCAAACATTGATGTTGTGGTTTGGACAACTTGCCTGTCTCCAGATAAAAAAGGTGCAAATTAGAAATGTACACAGAAATCTCTGGCGTTAGTGTTACAGAGGGAGAGACAGTTAGGAGCGCAAGATAAAATGTTACTCTATGGTGCAGTCAGGTAAACCTTTACATGTATAGGACACAGGTACTAATGTGTAAACAAGCCCAGAATGAATGCATCTACAAACTGTCTTGCATGTAAAAGGAGACACTTACCAGGCACTGTAGGCGACCAATCAATAGCAAAGCCTTCCCCCATGTGTCCTGCAAAGCTGAAGAGTGGTGTGGCTTCCTTCTGCTGTTTGATAAAAGCAGCCATAGCAGCAGGACTGTGCACGGCTTCCAGCTGAGATTGGAGGTCAATTATTTCTACCTGTCCCTTATCAGACCAGACAGCGGCCAACGATTGCTCTCCACGTTTTGTCACCTGGAATTATAGAAACAAAATTGGTTATCATGAACATTAGAAAACTCAGGTTTCCAATACAGGAGTTCATATACAAGTCTATAAAGTGATGCATAACATACTCTGACTCTGTTAATGCCTCCATAGTGAGGCATCAAGGCCAGCTCCATCTGTGGCTTCTTGTCTTCATCCTCATCATCGTCATCACTTTCTTCATCGCTGCTCTCTTCCCCCTCTTTGTCTTTCTCTGTTCCATAAAGGTTTTGCATGCGGATGACGATAAGTCTGGAAGACAGTACAAATATGCATTTAGGAGGATTCAGATGAAAAATAACCCTCCTTCCTCATTATTTCAAGAGTTGTGTAAAGTCTGGTGACAGTATCAACAGAGCTGAGGTTTTGTAAGAAACGTTATAATCCAAACAATTTAAGATGTTTTCCCTTCATTTTAGCTGGCCTTTTAAAAAAGGGGAAATCCCCAACCCTTTATGCCATGTATGCCAAAACAGAACCGAAACTGTGCACAAAAAGAACTAGTGAGAATGTACTGTTGATACCTCTGCAACAACTGAAGCTTCCATATAATAAAATGTCCTGCCAGTCATTATTATTTGAAAAGACTTGATCTGAATTATTATTGATTGACTAGTGTTACCTTTTTGCTGAAGCAACACTAATCAAAATCTCAAAAGCCATGATGCTTCGGCATTATTTCAAATGTTTTTTTTCTGTTAATAATAGGAATAACCTTGAAACACCATATTTATCAAGTTTGTACCCAAAGTGGCAGAGGTTTCTTAATATAAGACGGCTTGTTTTTCTGTTAAGTGGCTTATACATATTGTTAGTAATAGGTTCTTCATTGGGATTGTCAGACATTTATTGAGATTGCATAATGGACGTGTTTTTTTTTGGCTAGTTTGAGTGATTGCTTGGTGTGTTTTGGTGTGACATGGCCAATCTATGACACAGTATTAGTGATGTTTTATTAATGTAATTTGCTCAAACTTAATCTGTTTAGGGGCCAATAAGATTGTTAAGCCACTGAAATGAACACATGGGCAGTTTCCTTCTCTATTTGCATTCATTCCTTATTGCTTCCTTATCATCATTCGCTGGCCAGTTGTTATTAGTTCAACTTTTAAATAGTTATTATACATGAGGGCTTATTCCACTCTTTTTTATGGCAGAGCCACGTGACTTCTTCCGGGCTTGTTTCATAGACCTGGTTGCTCGTTTTCTTCAGATCTGGCAACATGTGTTCAGTACCTGTTGCTCAGCGCTGAGTCCGCCTGTGTGCCCGCACAGAGTAGCATGGACAGGGGGAACTGCTCCCTGCCTTCTCCATCCCCATCTCTCAGGAAATCAAAGCTCAGACACGGAGCACCTGGAGACACACAACAATGAATACTGAAGCTCCTGCTTGCGGACATTACTTATAGAATATATTTGCATCAAGGCTAACTAGCTGCTACATGTGTACAACTTGCCAGTTTGACACTCGTGATACATGCGGTACGCGGACCGGTCCATCTCCAGCTCCTCTCCCGGCTTTAGCGGCTCGATCCCGGGCACGTACACTTTCTTCTCCTCTTCTCCGCCATCCTCCATCTCAACTCCTTCATCATCATCGCTGCTAGCTTCGCCCGTCTCCTCCATTTCGCCTCCTTCCTCGGCAAACGTGTCTTCATCGGGCGCAGACATCTTTGCTTACTTCCGGTATGTGCAGCAGCCACGTGGTTTAAACAGCCTGTCACCCCTCTCATGCTGCCTCACTCCCCCGCCCTCTCCCAACTCTCTCTCTCTCTCTCTCCTGTCCCTGTCTCTCCCTCCCATTTACGGGAATTCAGCTGGCCCCTTTCGCGCTTGTCTCCACGCTTCCTGGAAAAAACAGACTTGCAAATATGTGTCTGTGATATTGTCCAACTACGATGTTCTTTATGCTTGATATCATGGGGTTTGAGGGGGTGGCCACTGGGTCGCCTTTCACACTCCCTGCAGAGTAACCGGATGAATCATTTTCACATTTTGTGGTAATGTTCATGTCTACTGACCCAGGACAGGAGCTCTCAAATGCTCTGAATGAGTCAGACTACTACATTGATTTCAAGTAAATGCAACATGTGTAGCCCACCACATGCAGCAGCCTGGTACTGACCTATTTTATAGCGCTTATGGTACTGACACTGGGGTCAACCATTATACATCCATGGGGTCAACAGCCCATGTATTACTGATAGGAAACAATTAATACGGCAGCAGCTGCACAGTTATTAAAACGTTAAGTAGCTATACATTTAAATAGAACTTGTCCAATTATTTATTCTTAAAGTTGGCTGGACTTGTTCTTGTTTTTGTTGTTAGTTGCATGAGTATTGCATGAGTAAGTTTAACAGTCCAAAAGAACAGAACAGCCTTTGGCTTGATTTACTTTCATGACGTGTCCAAAATGGTTGACTTTCGAGCACTATGATGATCTAATGGTTTTTAATCTGCATTCATGCTGTTGTACATTCTTCTCATTCTTTCCAAATTTGACATTAATTTAGAGAAAAAAAAGTTTGTCGAAAACTTGGGGTGTAGGCCAAGAGCCTGTTCCCACATACCTCTGTATTTTAAGGATTAGGAAACTACAAGAAGGATCTTGTGACAACAGTGGTGAACAATACATGCGTGGGTGTGTACAAGCAGGGGCAAGTGCGAGCACCAAATGGTGGACTTATTATTTCTCATGTAAATCCTGACAGGAGTCCTTCAGAACATCTCTTGAGTCCTGTTGAATCCAGAGTGCATTCCTCCCTCATCTGCAACTCGTCTGTCATTTTTTTCCTGAGAATTAAAATATGTGTAGAGCTATTGCCTTCTGGGAATCACTTTTAATAAGAGCCGTCAGTTAAGGTTGAGCTCACATGAATCATAACACAACGACTATGTCATGCATCTGGAATGCAACATCATAAACAAAATAGAATCTGTTTAAGCCGAACGGATAAAAATATGAATGTCTAAGTGTTTTACTGACAAACAGATCTTTTACTTAAACAAACATAGCAATGCCACAAAGGGAAATGACTAATTCAAACATACATTCAAAAGTATTTATGTAAGCTTTACTTGTAAAATAAATTAAAAACGAAAAGAATATATGCAGAAAAATGCTCTCTGTATTGTTGATGCATTGAAAGTGTCAGCTCTTTGCTGTTTGAGCTCATTTGAAAGACTTATCTATAGCTGTCCGATAAATGGAGTGGTTAAAAAAGCCAAATATTTCCCTTTAAAATGTTGAAGAATAGAAGTAAAAAGTAACATCAATTAAAAATAATCCAGTAAAGTATGTACAAGTACCTAAACGTTGTGCATTACTTGATTATATATACTTGGTTATTTTTTGTTAATGATGACAAACAGCACAGACCACAATAAATATAGCTTAAACATGGGATAATATATCAAAAACTAACAATGTATATATATATCTAAATGTCTTTAATTTACAATTATGTACAAAAGTAAAACGCCCATAAACTGTAATATCTTACATTTACATAACATTCATTGTAAACAGTGATGAATTCCACATCAATAGACGATGGCTTGCGTGCATTGGCTTGCTCAGCATTTATCTCTGGTTAGCATGTAGAGCATAGCTAGCTGGAGCTTGTGGCTTTGCTCGAGAGAGGATGGCTATATGGTTATATCTGTGATATCAGTTGTTAAAGAAAAGTGTTGCTCGGCTACGTGACTAACTTTGGACATTAAATACAACCGGTGCATGTCACATCATATTAACAAAGCTTGCTGCATTAAAACACAAAGACGCAAGTATAAGAAAAACAAACATTCAGTGCCAGGAAATGTCTTGCATTTTGTGTGCATCATCAAAAAAAAGAAGATCCTTGGAGTAACTATGGCAACAACCACCAGTACAGTCTGAATAGCAAGGTGCTCCAGAGAGAGGCAGCATAGGACAGGGTCGGAGGAGCACCGCTGGACGGAGGCTGCGTATTGTCTATCATCTTCCCAGACTTCCCCTCCTCCTCACTGCTGAGAGCTCGAGTAGTCAAGAGTCTGGCCCTCGACGGGCCGTAGTCCTTCCTCTCTAGAGGGGGGGGCAAGGTGGGCAAGGTGCAGGTTTTCATTTGCGGTAGGCAGGCGACATCGAGCCATCGAGTGAGGAGTTCTGACGTTAGTTTCAGAAGTTCTTCAGGAGAGGAAGATAGTGGGGAGAACTGGGCCAGGTCCGTCTCCTCCTGGAACCTCTGAGACGAGGAAACAAGGCACAAGTAAATATTTTTGAATAAAAGAAGAGACAATCATATGATCTCAGGAGCTTAATTCTTATTACTTTACTTTTACATACATTTATGTTTGAAACAAAGATTTAAATATGAATGTAGCAAGCAATCACAATTATTTTTTTAAGTAAGCAAGCAAGCTGTATAATAAGACATTATTATGGTATATGTTTGAAAGTAAACCCTACCTCTGTATTTTTGTTGCTACTTATAATTTTACCCAGGGTCAGCTTTAGATCCAGGATTAAGGAGTGATTAAGGTGCTCATCCCAGAGGTTTCCGAGAAGCACATGCCATGATTCAAGCAGGACGACTGCAGCAGGGAACACACAACACTGCCAGGGAAAGAAAGAGCAACACAACAACCCCAACGTCAGGTTTAGTGTGCAAAAAACATGTGACAAATCACCACAAGAACCACATCAGTTGCTTAATTATAAGTGAGGCTCAAGGATACATGGCACAACACTTTTCTTGCTAAACTGAGCATTTTCAAGGCCTGTTATTGTGACTGAAGAGGAGGTTAAAGCTAATTATTATCCTGTCAAAAAGCCAGAACGGCTGAAAGACTGTAAGATGTACGACATTATTTGCACATGAGACACCACTTCCCCTTTTTGATGTGATAAGAAACTCACCGGATCCCTGTCGCAGAGCATTCTTTTTGCGTAGCGGTGCACTACATAGTAATCCTTAGGAAATACTGTCCGCTGGAAGATAGAACAAAAGCATAGAAAACATAAGAAAAACACCCACAAATGATTGAATAATTTACACATTTTAGTGATTACTGAACTATAGTAACGTTTTATTAATTTAGAAAACAACTTAACTAACCCCTAAGGGGAAACTACATTCTGTTTGATTTCTTTCACTTTGTAGAGCTACGCATATCAGTCACAAAAACTATTTCCTGTCCGATAGCTAAAGGTTATCAGATAACAAGGGAGAGTAGATTATTCTCATTGATTTCAGAGAAATCTTCACCTTTGACCACCTCTTTTTACCACCTGACTGAAGAAAGTCAATATAAATGTTTTTTCCTTAAAGGATAGTATAAACATCTGGTAAGCAAATATATCATTCCTACAGAGAAGATGTTTGACTACATCAAATCATGAACAAAGTAAAAAGTTCTTAACTTACAAATCCAGTCGGATTAGAGTCGATTGTCCTTTTAATGTTTTTCACACCTTCCCTGTCAAAGTCACATCCACCACATCGGACAGTCAAGAGTGATAGCAACAGCAAAACTGTGAGAGGCATGAGTAAGAAGAAAAGAGACATTCAGATAATTGATGGAAACTTTCTGTGGTTTGTAGCTTGTTCAACACTGCATGCCCAGTAAAAAGCAATACCTCATATCCTGCCTCAATTCAACAAAATGATACTTGGCATGTTTTTAAATTAAATGAATACCCCGAAAATGCTATAACAACACAAAGTGACACAGCAAATCCGTTTTTGACTGATTAAGCATGACTATAAAACAACCAGTTATAGCATTCAACTTTTTTTTACCTACATACTATTGGAAAAGTTTTCAAAAAGCACCAAAACGCAGTTAATTCTTGTCTCTCACCTGGCAGTGACATCCTTTTATCTTTCTAAGAATGGACACTTCTCCATTTCTCTTGTTGAGGGCAATCTCTCTGCAGACGTGTTTCGGTGTCAGTCTGTGAAAGGCAAAGTTTCCTCCTCTGTGGTTTCTTCAGGTCTTTGACACAGAGTGCGCTGCTGTGTGTTCTCCTTCACCGTCTGATATGTAGTCTTCTTGTTGACATCCCTTATACATTCCTTCCTTTGGAGTCCTTTTGGTACTTTCCAATAAATACCTCATTTATCTTCTCACGCCATCCCGCTCTCTCACTTTTCCCACTTAAGCCTGAGTGACTGCAGCCTTTTCCTATGTAATCTTTTGTTTGTTTTTTACTATATCTCTTTCCCTTTCACCCTCTCACTACTGACCTAGAATCTTCTTGAACAGCCCAATTTGAACCACTCCCCTCTCCCTCGAAACTGGTTAATGGATAAAGCGGGAGAGACACTGGCCTGCTCTTGTCTATCTCTCCCTCTGGCCACTCTGTGTCCTCACTCGCTCAAAGTGAAAGTGCTCTGCTGGATTGCTTGTCTGCTCCCTTTAAGTCTCGGCCCCTCCCACCGCCACACGTTTTACCTCACTATTGACTGACCCGGCCCCTCCCCCCTGCTCCCCACATTCCCTGACACCCACCCTCTTACCCCCATCCTCCCCCTTCAGACCGGGCCCAAGGAGGCTTAGTCATGCAATTGGAGCGTATGTTTTTCATTTGGACTCTCCCCCACACCTCTGAGCCTTTGGATCCCCTGGTCTTTATCCCTCCAGAGTCAGTGCGCAATATCATTCTGTTTAATCATCACATGATCTGTTTTTGTTCTTGGGAAGAAAAAAAAGGATTGCAACACTGCATCACTAGTAAATGCAAGTCATTCTATTTGTGACAGCTTTTCTGAAGTAATTTCTGTTAAAATGGGTTCCACAGAGGTCTTGTATGTTTGTGACGTCTGATAATCTAATATTGTGCACAGCTGTCATCATCCTGTCCGTAAAGTGTTGATCTTCTGTCCCCTCAGGTTGTGTGAAGCATCATGTTATTTTGCTATTCTGTTCATTTTCTAGGAGAGGAGTTAATTAGTAAAGAAAGGAAAGAAGTTAGCAGATGTTTCTTCATGTCAAAGAGGAATTGTTCTTCTGTGTGTCCTTTTTTTAACACAAGCCAAAACCAAGTTTCCCCAAGTCCCATCACTATTGAGAGGAAATGGAAACTAGAGAACAGCAGCTTCACCGCAAGCTAAGCATTAACACTCCCAGAGGTATCATCAACTCAAAACCTCTTCACATATACTATGTGTTTTATGTACGGTATAAATATCCAGTCGCTGTGCCGCCTTCCTGTTTCATACATTGCTTGCATACTGAGGGAAGTAAATATGTAACTAATTTGTGCGGCCATTGCAAATTATGTTTTTGCTTATTTTAGTGAAACCGGCAGAATTAAATCCAGATTTGCGTTGAGTCAGAGAACAGGATAAACAATACAAGTTCAACTCTATTAGGACACAGTAGCACACTAGCATGGTTCAGAAGTACTTTCATTTTTACAAAGAAAGCTACTCAATCCTGATATTCAGACACCTTTCTTTGTAATTTTGACTAAAACTTGAATTACCGTATTTGTTTTGACACAATTGCTAGAAAGGTATGCATTAAAAACAAACATCCCCCTCCAATTTAAACAAAGCCGTATGTGGCTGATTTTTATTGAGTGAAGTCTGCAAGCTTCAGCAAAGCAACAGGCTCAAATAACTTTGGGATGAAAAGCTTTTTAGTGGCTCAGTGTGCAAATGGCTCATTAGGAAGCCAAAATCCTGCTGATGTGGTCGTCCGTACTGGAGCGAGGCCGTGTTATGCAACCACATTGTACATTTCAGGACACCAAAAACCTTAACAGTGTTGTCTTACACCACTTGGGGTATGTTGGCTGACAGCCATTCGATCAAGCGAGTGGGAGCTTGCCGAGAAAAATGCTGCCCCCCCCAATCCACTCCCTATTTATTCTTCCTGTTCACCACAAGATGGAGCCAATAAAAAAAAAAGGATGTGAGAGTGACTGTTCATATTCATTTTATTTTATCAGAAAAAGAGTAAACAAAGTGCAAAGTCTGTTTGTAATAAGTTAAACTTCACATATTAGTATAAATAGGTCATCTACAATAATTCCCTTTGACAAACTAATATATTATTTAAACTGACCAAACGTGTTAATCTGTGTAGGATAACAATCAGGGTTAGGAACAGTAGAATACCCATTACTTTGAAAAGCAAGAATGAATGAGAAAAACAGGTTGGTGACCCAATCACATTAGTCTTTCATCTACTGAAATCCCAAACAGTTCACAAAACTGACGATGAATGGATAGCAGCTTTCGCTTTCCCTTCATTAGTATTTCCCCCTCTTTTCAGCTCCCTTTATTTCACCTCCTCTACCTCCTCCCCCCTCTCTTTGTCACTGGCTGGGGCTCCTCTCCCCTCCTCGGACGGCTGTCATTAAATGACTCTTGTAGGTTTTGCTGAGTCCAGTCATCCAGAACTTGAGCAGCCTGACGTTGTCCTCCTCGCCCGTCCCTGTGGCGCCAAGCAGGGCCAGAACCTTCTGTGTGTCCTCCCTCCCTCGCCCGTCCACTTTGGAGAACTTGAACAGCACTTTGACTTTACTGAAAGATAGAATCGGCTATGAGAATCGCACTCAAACCCTGGATGTGGTCTGTTAAAGTAAATGGATGCTACTCACTTCATCCACTCTTCCTTCAGACACAGCAGGCAGTGAGACACGACGTCCACAGACAAGTTCTCATTAGACAGAGCCACCTCAAGCTTGTTCAGTAACGTGGGACCTGGAAAAAAGAGGACAAAATGGTTTGAAATGTCATCATATGGTTGTTAGTCTTAAAGGTCCCATGTCATGCTTTTCTGGTTATTACCCGTCCCCTTGTGTGTTATGTAGTTTCTATGCATGTAAACGGTCTGCAAAGTCACAAACCATCAAAGTACACCCTGTAGCGAGTAAAACTCTAACACAGAAAATACCTGTCTATGCTGCCCCAGAACGCCTCGTTGGAGATTTCTCTTTTTCTTCCTGGGTACAGTGACGTATTTGAGTATAGTGACGTAACATAATCCGCGGAGCCGTTACGTTATGTCTGCGGAGCCGTTACATTAGGAGGTCCGCGGACTTCCTCACACACACACACACACAATCTTTTCTCAGCTGCAGCTCCGCGGATTTCTCAGCCTGAGACGGCAGGACGCGGCGAGGCTGCGAGTCTGGTTTCGGGCTGGGTTTTGCTGTGTCTCGCAGACGGCCACTGGGCTCACAGGGAGGGGGGGGGGCAGGAGCTCCAACAAGCCGTTTAGGACAGAGAGTGAATACACATACTATACAGAGATGCTGTATGAGAAACCAATGTGAGTTTGGAAAATTGCACAATATAAATCTCTTCTAGTAGACCTCAACAATGGAATTATGATCAGTGGAAATGGCCATGACATGGGACCTTTAAGTACAACCAATTTCAAAGTTGGTCTAAACATGCTTCCTGCCAACTTAAATAACTCCCTTTTGTCCAGCTAATCTCAAGAATTTGCTGATAAAACAGTATTGAATGAAAGCAGGTGTAAAGATAGGCTGTGGGCCAAAGAACACATCACTTTTTAATGCAGAGCCATATCCTGAAACGGGACATGTCTTAATAATTCCTCTATTTTTGCATTACATATACATAACTTTCACAGTGTGTATTATGAATTTAAGATTATACCCAAATAATGATAAGATGTTTATCTTAAAAAGGTTCAAATAAACAGTGTTTCAGTTGTACTGATCTACATAAAAACATCATATTTGACATCTGTAAAAATCAAACATTTTGAAGTTAATAATAGCTGTAAAATTGTTACAATAAGTACAATATTCCCTCTGAAATGTAGTTAAGTATAATTTTGAGATGGCACAGAGGGGAAAGTACAAGTCCCTTAAAATTGTACAGTACTGCAATGTTATTTCCAACATTTATAACTTCAGGTGTGCCCGATGCTCACCCCTGTCTGTGGGCTGTGTGTTGGCACTGCTGATGGTGAACTGATAGAGTGCGGAGATATCGTATTCACCAACTGCACAGATCCGCCCGTTTCTCTCTATGCTGACATCCACTAGCACTGAAAAGTCTGCGTCATAAACAAAAGAAAGGTTACGTCAACATAAGATGACTTGCTTGTACAAGCCTAAAGCCTCTAACAGCAGATCTTAAAGGTAATGTAGAGTCATCTACAGTGTAAATCCACAGAGGCTCTGGTACCTGAGGAGCTGACGTGCGTAGGAATATGCACATCTGGGCTGAGACCCAGAAAGTTGCATTTGTAGGCCTCTTCATACTGAGCACTGTATGGCACCGAGCACACACAGCCTACTGGGAGCAAAGACTGATGGGAAACAGGACAGAGAATCACATTATAAACATGCACTCATCCACTCAGTTATTTTGTTGATATTTTGACATGGAAAAGCACAGTTTTAAATAATAATGCTAATGATCACGGAATTTAATTTAGCTGCTTCAGTTTCAGGAGGTATTCATGCTGCCTCAATGTCTTACAGTCGTGGTTCACTCGGGCACTCTGGTAGAACTGAATCATTGTTACCTTTATTAGTCACAATTGTGCTTTCCTACAACTCGTAATGTCTGCTGTGAACAGACATAGGAAGTAGTAGGAGACTTCCAACATTGTAATTGTAACAATTTACAAAACAATCTTCAAAATGATCACACGTTTTTTTTCCCACAGCGGATAAGAAACACTAATCGTGTAATCAAAGCGGTTACATGCTCAGTCTCGTTTGTGTATTTTGCATGGAGAGGTAGGCAAAGCGTGTACGGGCAAAAAAGATTTCAAGGTGTGCAATGATAGCTTCACTAATATCATCACTTCAGGCAGGAATTTGATATATATTTGTGGAGAAACTAACTGAAACTTAATCCATTACTATCACTTCATATCACATCAAATATGGCGACTTAAAAGGTTATTAATCTTTTCAATTCAGCATTTTTCACTCTGACTAATTCATCTTAATAAAAAGAAACTGAAGTGTTAAATAATTGTAAGAGTTATAATTGTGTAAAACTACCCAGTATTTAACTTTTACAAGGGCTCACTTAATGGGGACCCTCAAAGGAGTTATCACTTGTCCTAATTCATATTTACCCACATCATTATGACACTAACGAGGCAGAGTGGAGTGCCGCAGCAGAGTGAACTACCTTGAGCACTGTAAAGGCAGACTGGATGAGCCCGGGGTCAGCGCCTCTCCATATCACTTGATTTCCCATGAGCACGTGCCACACTAGCTGACGAAACTCAGCAACCCCGAGGACCTGCGGAGCAAATCAAACTGTAATGTTCAACAGTTCACAGAAACCTTATGTGAACTAAAGTAAATATGAAGCCATGAAACTATATATTCTTGAAAAAACTGTTGGAAACGCTGTGCCTCATCAAAAGGAGAGGAGACAATAACCTTTTCCCTTCATGTTCTTTTTCAGTTTTCTGCAGACAAAATGACACGCTGTAAAAGTACCTAAAAGTGTACCTGTCTCAAATGCCTCAGGGACCTGAATTTCGGCCCTGGTAGTTCATTTAAGTTTGCATCATCACACAGGAAGTCGAGGCCCAGCTTGCTCTCTGATTGGTGCCGCTGTGACGTAGAATCGCCTCCTTCTGCTCCCTCCCAGCAGCTCATTTCCTCCTCTTGCTCTTTTGGAAACAGAAAATGACATTAGAACATTAATAGTGATGATCAAATGTTTTCAAGCTCATTACCAAAGTGGGGAAATTCCACTGGAAATGTTGTTGGTCTATTATATATCACACTCCTTATATAGAGTGTGATGTGCACATGAAACCATTTCCGAACTGAAATCAGCTCTTTACATCTCAACTGTTATCTATGACTCATTTCCAGAAGTATCCAGTGACTGAGCATGTAAACTTTAAAAAACAACAACTTTAAAAACCTATTTCTACAAATTGCAATTTTTATTTGTGTTGCTTTTATATTGGTTATAGCATTTTTTTTCATGTGGTTTTTACTGTGTATGTATTCATCACTTGTTATCTGTGATTTTGACAAGTGCTTCAGACATTTTTTAAATGAATATTAAAATATTATTCTAATAGGGAAAAGGGTATTACAATTCCACAATCAAAGGGCCACACTGGCCCCGGAAATACCTCTTTTAATCTTTTAAGCACTTTCTAAATCTTGACTAAAAATGTAGTAAACACTTTCTGTAAAAGCAGTGTGTTCAATGGCTCAGTGAATAACACTGTTTTCCGGCCAGTGTCAATGCACTAAACTGACCCAGTAAATCCCAGGAGACTGCAAACACATGAAATCGGCTAATAACATCCTCCAGCAGGAAGCCAAACCTTGCCTGGAAGGCAGGACATGTTGAAGCATTTCCAAGGTAAATAATCTTCCAATAATGTTTTTGTATCACCAGACTTTGTTTTTTAACTTCAACTTTTACCCAGTTCAGGGCATGAACAGATTGTAGTACTAGAAATGTATTAATATTGACAAATTCCGAAACATATTGCACATTAAAATAAATAAAAGTTTTTTTGTTTAAGTTCTTACATATCATATTCTACTAGTCAACCCTTTCGCTACGAAGTTAAGAAAGATGGGCGTGGTCTGAACTATGGGGGTAGAACAAGGGGAAGGGGCCATCACTATTTAGTATCTAGTTAAACAATGATTATATTTGCAGAATAAACTACACATTTTGTATCACTGTAAGATGTCATAATGTGACTACCTGACTGTCTCTCTATGAGCACCAGTGTGTCCTCAGTGGGCGCTCCCTCCAGCAGCTTCTCTGTCAGACGACTTCCACATGCCTTCAGCAGCCTGGAGACAATGTGAAAACACAAATCCACATCTCTAGGTGAGCCATTACAGACCACAGCCTGTTTGTCTGAGCAGGGCTGACTGGACGTTGACTCACCAGCTGAAGGAGGAGTGCAGGCTGGCCCACAGGTTGGGATGCTGGGTAAGAGAAGTTAGAGACCGGGCTGCATTGCCACTCCTTTGGTGTGGAAACACTGCAGGGGAAAAGACACTGTTCATCCTCACCGATCGCTGGGGACACACTCCCTGTTCAATATCGAACACCTGATGGAGAGAACAGTACCAAGACATTAGGCGCCCTAATAGATTTGCACCAATCAAGAACTTTATAATTCTATTTGAGTTATCTGAATTATGCATGGTGTGTCGATGTGTGCAACCTACCTTGAGGGCTGTGCTTTGCAGGCTCTGTATAGTGAGTCTGAGGTGGCATAACAGGAAAGGCCAGGAGTTGATAAGGTAGATCCTGTCCATTGCTACCATGACAATACTGTACCAGCGCTGGAAGCCCCTGGCCAGGCTGTCTTTGATAAAGAAGGTGTGTGAAAAAACAAAACCATGTTGCTCATCTCCAAAGAAAATTGGTCCTTCACGGCCGGGACACACCTGGCAAAACAGAGAAATATAGGTAGAAGTAAATATAAAGAGAGAAGTTTATTTAACGCATGAGATGTGTGACATCTCACACACACACACATACATGCAGACGTAGGTCACTGTTTACCTCACAGCTGAGGCTGCGTACGCAGGCCTGGCGGACAACGCTGAATAGCTGTGGCTGTCTGGGATGCTGGTGGCTCAGGAAGCGTATGCCTGTTTCATCATCAATGCTCACAAAACCCGGGTGAGATGCAGGAAGAGATCGACATCCCTATGAGCCAATGAGAGAGGAAAATGTGTACTTTGAGATGGATTTGACAGGACTCACCAGCATACGAGAAAGTCATAGTTAAGAGTGTTTTTGTACAGAAGACAGGTAGAATGGATTGTAACAGCTTCTCTCCTCACCTCACACATTTCTCCTCTCTGTGTGGCAGAGCTGTTGGCCCTCATGGTCAGCCCTTCACCTTCCCGGTCCCCATCTCGGTCTCTGTCCCCGGGCCCCGCGGTACCTGCAAGGGATGAAGGGGATGGGGATGGAGGATGCAGTGCCTCGGTGCAAAACAACGTCCGAGGGCCATGGAGCTCACAGAAGTGACAGAGAGCAACCAGAGCATTCATCTGAAATGGACATAAGAGTTATGAAAAGTATTTTTGTACTATTATGTTTGAGCAAGCATTTCAATACATAACATTGAACATTAAAATACAACTGATGTGTTAATGGACTTAAGCCAGTGGAAGAACAAACCACTCTGCACTTTGCCAATGCAATTTCCCTCTTTCTGTGTGTATGAATTGTATGTTGAACTGTGTATGGTGACTGATATTGTATCTTTGCCAGTGCCAAAGACACATTTCCATAAAATGTAATGGACAATAAAATATTCTGAATCTAAATGGCATTAATAGGTTGCAGTATGGTTAACACATGGTAATTACAGTTGATATCAGATGTCTTACCTTCAGCACAGCGACAAGTTCAACAATTGACTCAATGGTACTTCACGAAGGGACATTCATTGTTCACAACGTCAAAACGCGGTTATGTAAAAGGCGACATATTAAAACATCAAATATTCACTTAGTCCGTTTTGCAAAAATCCATGATTCCCAGAGTGTCATATTAAGGTTTTGGACACTTTTCTCGTGGTGTTTTCCTCCTGTGTGCAGCTGCTGACAACAACACAGCCGGTCACATGACGCCGCAGTCATGCGCTCGAGTACAAGTGACGCATGGCATTTGGCTGCGCGAGCTGTTTCTCAATTTTACCCGTGAAGTCGAAATGTTTCGATTATTTTTTAAAGCGATAAGAAGGCCTTTAAACAACATGTGTATGCGCAAAGATAACAAGTTATGTAATGTATTTATAGAGGCTTTTTTAGACTGAAAACACAAAAACTACATTTCCCATGATTCAGTGTGCGATAACAAACTCAGGGTCAAAGGGCGGTTAAAATAAGCATCGCGAGCTCCTTCGGTTAGTATGTTTAATATTTTCTTGGGGATCTTTAGAGACATGTTTATCTTGTTTGTTTATATCTGAATAAGTTTTATCTCAATGAGTTGTTGAATTCAAACAGTTCCTTAAAAAAAAACGCTAGACAATCACTTCCTCATTGCCTGAGTTGTTATTTTAGAATTAGGTATGTCCGGTTTACTTCAAGTAATTCATTGTCAGCTCAAACAAGTATAGCAGCAAACACCACAGTGACACAGCAGACCTTTTTGAAGTAACATTTCCTTTTAAATCACAGGTTTGATCATGGCATCAGACGGATTAGGAGGACCACCAGAGGAGCAGGCAGAGGAGGGGACCCCCCTGACAGAAACACCCAGTGAGGAGGCAGGGGTTCCCCCTAACTGTGGAAAAGACACCTTAAGAGCCCGAGCAGGTAAATCCTCCTGATACACAGACACTGATTGTTGTTGTTTACTTCATTTAAGACATGACATACAGGTGAGTCACACATTAAATAGACTGATATACCTGCTGGTCTATTACCAAACTCAGTCTGATTCTTTTTATTTTAATACTTTATTGTTGTAATTTGTGTGCAGTGGAACACAAATGTACAGGAGAGCTGAACAGACATGTCATATCATGCACATTAGAGCTGATATGTTATCAGTAGTCAGCTTTGTGTTAAGGGTTACTTTTTCCAATACTCTCAGGAAGTAAGGATCCCCTTTAAGGCCTTATAGTCTCAGTCCCTCTCGTCGTCAAAGGGAATTACCATTACTATTGTCTTATGACATATATCTAGCACATTAACCCAGTGTAAATCTATTAGGTACATACATCACAGACACATACTAGATTTCAATGTCAAATCCATATTTATACATAATAACCAACTTTAAAGAATACAAATGTGATAATACTGGTAAACCACATCCTAGTATCAACGGTGGGGACACAATCATTAACTTTTTTGCTATAATTTACACAGTCGTATGAAATATGACCAAGACCTTTAATTATTTCATAAAGAAATTTATATTTACCCATTTATCTTTAAACAAGTAATTATAAATAATACCCAAATAATTATAAAATTATATTATACAAAACTCAGTATTGATTTTTATTCTGTCACTATCACTAGCCAATAGGATTGGATTGCTGACAAAATGTAATATATGTGAAAGTGAGCAGCTAATGTTTTGTTACATATTTTCTGAAATAGACGGTGTCCTCATGTTGCCCAGTCTATGAAACCTTTCTGTGTTGCTGTAAGCAATTAGATTTCTGCTAAATGTGATGTTATCATGTTGCTGAAACCCCTTACCGTCAAAGGCGGTGTGCTGAAATGACCGAAAACATTTTGATTTCATGCTGGGTGACTGCTGGTAATGTGTCAGGGGTCAAGGAAGTGAGTCAAAAGAGAGCCGCAAGTATTGGCACTGAACCGCAAATCCGGTATAAAAAAGAGATTTAGTACCAACATCTGCTTAATTACCGTGTACTACCGGGATGATACCAACACAGACTTTCCAAGGAAATAAGTATTAATTATATCAAGTATTACGTTACCCAGTCACCTCCAGTCTGATTTATACACCAAGCAGTTTAAAGACTGCTCAAGTTGTTTAAGTTCTCCCATGACTTGTGAACCTGTGCCAGTGTGCGATCTCTCAGTGGGAAGACAGATATTACCGCGCATCATCAAAAGATTTAATGAATGAGTCACATCCAGTTTTGGAAATAGCATTCCCGGGTGTCTGTTTTGTGTTTGAGTTTATAGGCAACTGCAGAGCAAATATTTGGCATTTGTCCTCTTCCAAGTGTGTTAGAGAGGAAACATAGTTTTGTGCATATCTTTTTTCCACTCCCTGTTTTCTCTAGGGGATTAACCCCTTATTCATCCCATCGTTGTCTTATTAGACCTGCTTAAGATCACCAGAAGGAATCTACTACATTTCTGTATTTTAATTTGAGTTCAGGTGTTTGGTCATTGTTTTCCCTAAAGTCTGTACATTGAACATCATCATATCTACCATCTTTTTATATTACTTTGGTAAAATGTATTATGTGGATTTATGAATATGACAGGCATTTTAATATTTAATTAGATCACTCTACAGAATTCTTTTGAGAAAAATAAATATTCATAAATCCAATTTCTTAAGCAAAGAGGTGACTAGAGGTGACTTTCCAGATACAAAAATAAATGTCCTCTATATCCGATTGTCTAAACAAAAAAGTTGTTAATCAAATAACCCCTGCAAACCTTACGATATTTATGTAACTGCTATTTTTTAAATATGTTAGCCTACAATTGTTAGTCCCACTGGCATGTTCATAGTTATAGCCTCAAGTTTTAAACATGAGGTGTTGTAAACCTACTGGTTTCAATTAAAAATAATCTGGCACACACAAACATATCTCACCTACAAAGAGGCTCATATAGGAGACACTATAAAACAACAATAAAGAACCTTGAACAACTCAACATATATTGAACACAAAGTGCAGTAACAGATGGCTTACTTCCTGCTCTTAGTCTGACTTTCACAAAATACATTATACATATATTTGACTTATTCTACCTGCCGCCTTAAGTTTACCATCAGAACTCTGATCTGAGAGCATCCCGCTGTTATATGTATTTGAATGGTTAATAGAAACTGCTTTAAACTCGCAGGGTGTCATTTCCTGTCTCCTGTCTCCTCTCTTTTTTTTCTTTTTTTTCTTAGTCAATTTATTGAGCCACTGCCTGACTCTTACTCACACTGTTGCGGCCCACAAGCTGCTGAGTTAAAAATGTTTTGCGATCATGTTTGTGGAAATGTTTTCTATAAATTCTTTACTCTTAACCCGAGAGAAACCCTTCAACATGCTGGTGTTATGTACAGATACTCGTTACAAAATGTCCTGCTTACTTCCCTCTGTGGTCAGCAGAGCAAGATGAGAACAGAGTCGACGTGTGCCGGTTTTTCCTGATGGGGAAGTGTCATTTCGGCCCCAGATGTCGTTTCTCTCACAGGTTTGCTTGCTTTTCCTTCTTCAGTCAACTTACCAGCAGGATTAAGAATGACTTTGAAATGTTCTTGTTAGCTTTTCTCCACATGTACATTTATTTCTAATAACTGCAACACTAAATGGTTCAAACATGATCATAACACCAAGGTAGCTAGAATGTTAAATGATGGCTGCCTGAATGTTGAAGGATAGGTTCTAATTGTATTCATTTTAAACAATAATCACAAACCCAAATGCACACTGAAAGTATAATTAGTAGCTGTATTTGTTCTTTGCCCATAAGGGTGGCAAAAATATCCTTCTTCAAGTTATGGAGGAACAAATCTAAAGTCCTAATTCTGCAACAATTTCAGAAATTAATTAAATCACTTTTCTGGGCATTTGAGTAATGACAGAGTTGAAAATAGTGTGGACCTTTCCTTTTAATGTTGCTCAACCTGGATACAGAAGATTCCTCCAAAGTTTGTATTTATTTATTTCTCCTTTCAACAAATTCATTTTTAATACATTTAACAATAAAGAGGTTAAAAATTGTGGTAGCTATACGCGGTACTATAATTTCATTCATGCCTTCTAGAATACTATTCCCTTGTTACAAGTGTGCCTTTTTGAAAATTGATTGAAGTACTGTATATTGTGTTTATTTATTATTTCTATTGGTCAACCACTGCTCATATTGCTCACCAGTCTGGCACTAATACGCAGCTATGACTAAATATGGGTGCTGTTCAAAGTTCAGCAGGCTGCATGAAGGTTAATCTGTGTCAAATGGAATTAAGACTAAGAGCATTTTTTTCTCCATCTGTCATTTTTCCCGTGTGTGTTCTGACATTTTTTCCACTCTGGTTGCTCTCTTATCTTAGTAACCCATCAGGAGATGATTCAGGGTCAGCTGACCAGGATGACACACAGGAAGGGGAGAAGACGGAAAACCCCAAGAATAAAGTGAACAAAACAAGAGAGCCGAAATATGAGCCAAAAGGTTACTCGCACATGTCATCTGATAGTGACAACGTGATCCATATATTAATGTTTTTTATTCAAATCAAATCATACCCAGTAACCCTTCCAGTGATATGCTTTTGTTATTTATATCTTACTCTCCTGCAGAGGTGAACAAAAAGCCTCGCATGCGCACCGCCGATGAGGTTATCTCTCGGATCCTGTGGGACCAGTCGGCGGATGGATCAGAATTTGTTGTTGGGTACGTGGACCGTTTCCTCGGTGTTCTGGAGCGTCCCTTCAACGACTTCAACTGGGACACAGACCCGTGCGACTGCGACTACACCGTGGAGCTGGCCCTGCCTCGACACAGGATCCAGTACTTCACCTACAGAGGGCACCGCGTCTGGGACCGCCACAGCAGGACCGACCGGGTGTTCGGCTCCACCGGCCAATCTCTGGCTCCCCCCTTTGGAGGGGTGGAGGAAGTAAAGGGTAAGGATGGACCCCACCTAACATACACCCAGATACTCACTGATATGCAGACACATTACAAAAGCCAGGACTTCTTTACAGGATTCATACTTACCAAATATAGCATTTTGTTTCCCAAGAAGTGAACACAGAGGAGCCGCCGCCTGCTGTCAGGGAGCACCTGCAGGATGAGTGTGAAACAGAGGAGGGTACTCCAACTGAGAACACACATCAGGAGGAAGAGGAGCAAAGTGAGATGAATATTCACAGCCCTGCTGGAACAGAAGCAGCTCCAGAGTGTGGAGGAGACACTTCTCCAGGAGAGGAGGCACCACCATGTGTTATGGAGGAGGCTGCAATGAGGTCTGATGTTCATTCATTAAGGGACAGTTTACAAGAGCATTTTTACAGCATGTTCTCGGTCACAGTGATCAATTCAGAGCATCCTCAGCTTTCTGAAACTTTTTCATAATCAAATAATATATTTCTTTATAGTAGATTATAGCTTTTAAAATAATATTTGGGTTTTAGACTGTTGGTTGTACAACATTGATACATTTGAAGATGACATGTTTGGACTGAGGGAAATTGTTACAAGCTTTCATTTTCTAGACAAAACTATTATTCTTAATTGGTCGATTGGATTGGTTTGCTCATGTGTGTGAGTGTGGCTTTGTTAATATGAATTTAGAAAATATTTGTTATTGTACTGTGTCCATAAGACATAAGATTTTACATTAGGGCAACTGTATGTCATGTGATCTTATTAGCAATGTTGCAAGATTCATCCTGTCTCTTGAGTAATATGACTCACTTGTTTTGATTTAAGCCCTGAGGCTTCGTCCGACCCATCATCCTTATCCCAAAAAGACGGAGCAGACGGACAAGAGGGGAATGAGGAAGGGGACGTTGCAGACTGGCAGGAAAGCTTGGACGGCAAAGAAGATGCTTCGGTGGGTACAGCACAATTCACCCTGAAATAAACCTTTATGTTTTGCATTTACAGTTCAGTTCTCAGTTCAAATCTTAATATTATTTATCCTCTTGCCTTCAGAGATCTTTTTAAAACCAGATTGTTTAACAGTGAGTTTTGTGTGAAAGATAGCAGCCGTGGAATTGTCTGATTGATTTCAAATCGACTGGGACTAGATTTCATTCAGAGAGTCAACAAATTACTTTAAAAATGTCTATTTCCAGAAATCAGCACCTCTGGAGCAACGAGAGCAGAAGAACAGTGGTCGCCCCCCTAAAAAGAAGCCCACGCACTTCATCACCTTCAGGGCCAACACTCCTGCCGTCCTGTCTGGCTTCCAGCAGCTGCAGGAGGAGATCACCTCCGTCCTGCCCTCCTCGGCCCCTCACTGGCAGTTGGCCAACACGCTCCACGTCACGATGTGCCTTCTGAATTTGCCTGGCCCAGCGGAGGTAGCCACCGCTGCAGAGGTCCTCAAAAAGTTTGCTCATTTCGATCGAAACCCCCCGGTGGCTCTGACCTTCCCTGTGAGGCTGAAGCACTTCAACGGGAAGGTGCTGTACCTGAGCCCCCAGCCTCAGATCCACCTCCAGCAGCTGAACAGCGGCCTGCAGGAGGCCTACAGGGAGGAGGGGCTGCTACACAGGGACTCCTTCAACCCACGATACCACCTCACTCTGGCCAAGGTAGTGGGCAAGGAGGGAGAGAGGGTGTTTGATCGGGTGGGGGACCTGAAGGTGGGGAAGGGTTTACATTTTGGCCGTCTGCCGATAAACACCCTGCACCTGTGTTCCATGGGCATTTCAGAAGGAGATGATTTTTACGAGACCGTGTGCACAGTTAGTCTTCGATGATATAACACATGCACTAAATACATGTAGGTTATTACAATGGGTGCAATACCTCTGGCCACGTGGCCTTATCGACCAAATCTCATGTCTGTGTTTTAAGGTTTTATGTTTATTCAGAAAAGATGCAGAAATTCTGGTGAAGGACTTATTTATATAAAGTGCTAAAGGGAGCAAACAATTAATTAATGTTCAATTAAATTCATCTTTATTAAGATGCAAAAAGTATATGATGGTCCATCTTTAATAATATGATTTGCATGTATGTATTTTATGAATGCTTAATTGTAATGCACTATGTCCCGTACATTGGCTATTCATATTTCAAGATGAGAAATGAATGTCGTCTGCACAGAATAATAATACATGTTCTGTTCATATTGCAAGCTGATGCAATACCTCCAGAACCGGCTGAAAGCACAAGTGTTTACTTTGGCTGGCTGGACAGAAGGATATTACCCTAAAAACAGAGGTGCATTTATTTTACTCCATTTTTAATGTCATCATTTAGAGTTGTTTCTTTGTTTGTTGGTTTTAGGTGAAACATATTTAAAGTACACTAAAATGAATACAATTCATTGTAGCCTCTCCATTACAACGACTCGCTGATTTAATTTCTCGGATATTATAACATTTTAAAATGTAAAAAGTGCTTTTTCTATGCTGCTTAAAATACAGAGGTATTTTGAAGACATCACCTTGGACTTTAGGACATTTTGTTGGCCTTCTAAACATTAATTTAGTTTTATTCACCAACAATTAATACATCATTAAATTGAGAAAAGAACAAGATTAGTTGGCAATCACAATAGATATTAGTTGCATTATTAGTCAAAAAGAAACACAGTATGAATGAGGACAAACTATTCAAACTGTTGCTGTCCTGTCAGAACAGTTTTAGTTTAGGCCCTGAAGGAGACACATGTTGTTGAGTGTAAATCAGCTTTGAGACATTAAACTCACGGGACACCAGATTAGAAAACCTCCTTTTTAAAAATATAAAACGCCTAAAGTAGAATGAACATTTCCTTCTCCTCTAACTATTATCTGGTGAAACAAATAAGGGGTTTCGGGCCCGCAAACTACTACCCCGACGTTTGTATCTGCCACAACGGTTTATCTACGAGGCATGCATTGCTTACGAGGGGAAGAGATTATGTTTTCTTTACAGCTATGAATCAACCCGAGTAGTTTTACTCCGCAGCTCATAATTCCACAATTTATCTGCGTTGTATGAATATTGTATGGATGGTGTTCCCCGAGGACGATGACTTTTACAATGAATTATAACCATTAGATTGTGAAGGACATTAAATATTGAATTGGTTATTTTAACTCCTGAGTGGTGATGTTTTCTCAGAGCACGATGGATGGCCTTGATGCAGCGGTTCAACATGCAGACACAAACGCTCCCTGATCAACTCTTGCATACATAATATCATTTTCTGTCTTCTTTCACACACATACACTTTACATATAGGCGATATGAGTCAGTGAGTATGCTCTACTGTTTGCTCCCTCGCTCGCATTATCTCCCTGCCTCCCTTCCCCCACTCTCTTTCAGTGACACAGAAAAACTAACGCCGCCCCCTCCCTCTTTGCTGCTCGCTTTGCCCCCCTTTCTCCAATGGCAGACAGACACCATACTCTTTTTACTCTGTGTTTGACCATTATATCTTCAATTTACGTTCCCCAGTCAAACCCTCCATAGAGCATCTCCATCAGCGAGCTCTCATCCCTTCCATCATCATCTTCTCCTCTTCCTCCTCCTCGTCTCTAAATCAGTGTTGATGGTGTTCTGCAGCCTCCACTGAAAGCTGGTTCTGCCTAAAAATCCATTGCATGCCGCTTTCCCCCCTCTCTATTCATTGTTCACTCCATCTCTCACCCTCCCTCCTCTTTCTCTCAGCATCACTCCCTGGGAACCCACTTGTTTTCCCCTCCTCAGTATTTCATGTTGCCTGCATCTCCCCCACCCCATATTCATCTATGTGCTTATTCGCCTCTCGTACTCTGATTTTATATGCATCTCTACCTATCTCGACACATCGCTGACCTAACAGTGCTCTCATAGACAGGACTTCATTATTTTGCGTCCAACATGTGAGTGGGTTTTTTAAACATCTCTTTGCACTATTATTTAGCGCACAGTAGGCTGCATTTGTACTCTTTCTCTCAGTAATCTGGTCAGGGTTCAGTGTGGTGGTCTGGACGGAGATTGGTCAGGTTGATTGGAGTGTGCATGGATGGCTGGTTGGGGGTCGGCATTATAAGTGTGCCTCAATTTGAAAGGAGTGAGGGGTTAGACCCCGCTAATCCCCGTTAACAGATTAATTATCTTTGGGCAATATCGTGTTGCTGCCGTGTTGTGAAGTTGTTCGTGCGTTAAGCTACGAAGGGCTACAATGCAACGATAAAGGGTCCCTTAGGGGTGTCTCCCTCAATCTTAATCCCTCTCTCTCTCTGTCTGTCTCTGTCTCTCTCACTCTCTCTCACTCTCTCTCTCTCGCTCTCACTGAGAGCTCCTCTCTCATCCATCAACAGAGGCACCTCTCCACTGTCACCAGACAACCATCCCATTATTGGTTATTTCATATTTAAATCACTGCAAGAATTATTGGCTCAATTTTCTCCCAATCTTGACATATTTTTGGCATGTCCTCAAGCTATTTTTTCAGGATGATGTTTTTTCAAGAGCATCAAGCGTTGATGGCTGGCAGTATACCTCTTTGAGTGGGTAAATATTTCACGGACGCCGGCGTAGAGAAGAGACGAGGAGCAGAGAGAAACCTCCCAACACAACCGTCAAGAGGTAAGACCCTGATCTCTCTCTCCTGCAGATTATGGCTTCATTGTTGATATGGTTGCAAAGCTTTATCATCAAACAAGTGACATTTGATTTTAATGGGCGTCAAAACACATTACAGCATTTTACCCATTTTCATCCAGGCTTATCTTTTCAAAAATGCTTAATGGATATTCATGAAACACAATATTGCCTAAACGGATTCATGCTTATCTCTTCCACTCTCACACGTAATGGATGAATCTTCTCCCATTTGCAGAATCAGATGCTGTAATGGTTTGGTTGCATCCAATTGTTTCCCACCCAGTTATAGTTCAATTTGTCTTATATCTTCTCTGAATGCTTTTTTGTGCTGTGCGAGATAACTTGAATATCTTGTTCTGCGGTGGTCAGTAGTGTGGAAGCGTTTTGTCACCATCAACTTGTCATGCTGGACTCCTGCACACATCAAAGCACTGATTTGCTCTGACATGCTGGCTATGAGCTGCACTCACTTACCTTCGGTCAGCTGCACTCACTTTGAAGGTTCATTGTTGCGGAGCTGAATTTGACAGATGAATGTGAAAATGTTATTCTAATTGAGAGTATTCTTCTTTGCCTGTCGCTTCACTTCAGTTGATAAAGCTAACTTTGCTCCCTTTATGAAGATGTTAATTAATTCCTCCTGGCTAATGTAGTGTCTCATGAGACTGAAATGCTTTCACATAAATTGCAGTCATTAAGGTTGTTGTTAAGAAGCAGTTAGGCGACCACTTAGGCTGTAATGTGAATCATAAAAGATTTTATGAGGCAAATTGGAGATTTCAGCAGCAAAAAGACTACATTAATTATATATATTCTGCTGGAAAGAGTTGTATCTATATAAAAACGATGAAGGTGGAGATGAATTTCCCGTGCTGAAGATGATCCTAATTTCTGCTGACAGGGAAGCCTCAGCCCTGTTCTCATTAGCTGCTGCACAAAATGGCCCTTTTCTTTACATTTAGACATCATGGAGTCATATCACACAAGTGGTTTCATTCTCTGTCGCCTGAGCTCCGTGCAGACTGAACGCAACACAAATATTCCCCCTAATTCTTCAGGGGTTCGGACTCTCACCATCTCTCCCTTTTCTTTTTTTCCTCTCCACCGACTGAAGTCAAAATCACATTTATTTGGCTTCAGTTATGCAATGGTAACAGGCATGATAACAAGCTGGCAGGAGACATCGCGTCAACATGAGGCTTCCTATGTGTGACAACTGCTGAGTAACTGCTACTCCACAGGACCGTGACCCCCCCCATCAGCACCTCATTAGGGGGCCTCAATAACTTTTAGGGGTCAAAGGTGAATCCTACCTGAGCTTTGACTCGATGTCTTCATACATCCCCAATTAATTAAGGGATTTCACATTGAGACAGATAAGTTAGTGCTTTATATATTTTGTTGTTGTTGTCTTAAATAGTCTGATACAGCTTCTCATATGGTGGGAAATCATAATTAGTGCGGTATTGACATTCATCAAAGGAAATGCTTTGCTATTTTGACTCACTCCATTGATACATAGTGATAACATCAGGTAGACTGATTCTCCTTTAATGGTTCTCCTATTTCATTGTTATGCCTCTCAAAAAGCTTTTATTGTCTCCAAAGTCTGATAAATGCATCTAATCTAATGAGTTCACTCTAGATAAATGATCATGAAGGAATGCATAAATATAACAGCAGACAGTCTGTTTACACTGCAGATGTGCGGTGGACGGATGCAACCCTCACAGCGTGCCAACCATTATGTTCAGCACGATTTTAATAATGGAAATGGAGAGTTGGGGATGATTGGACTTGTGACAGTGGAACCATTAAGGTGAAGCGACTTATTGTAATGGGCTTACAGCCGCCCTGTCTGGCCAAAGGGAGAGCTGTTAACTTCAGCCATAAACGCCCCAAATCTGAAAGGGAAAGTGTCTGGCAGTGAATGTGACTGAATCTAAACTTTTATCATGCACAGTATTTAACTCAATTATGCGTGAATCAATAGGGATAGTAAAGAGCCTCAGCAGTGTAGAATACTGCCAAATTGAAGAAATAACAGCTGCATTCAAAGATAATAAAAAGTCTTTAATTCAGAATCTATCTGACATTATTACATCATCAAATCCACTATTGTATCTGTCGTATCAGCACTGAGCTGGGCTGTATCCCCCTTTGTATTACGGCATCAGTGCTGTTGTTGTGCGTTGTGTCTTAAACACTTCTTTCTTAAACAGTAAAGCTCTGACGGTCTCTTAATCTGTGTACCCGGTATCAGAAGCCCCCCGCCCCCCCTGCTCCGTCATTGTAATAAGATTCCAGTGTATGTTTTGGCTAACCGGATTTGCCCTTTGTATTTACCCTACTTTCTCCCCCTTGGCCGGCTTTAGAAGCAACGGTTCACCATGCAGTCAAATATATAATTCTTTGTATAATGGTGGAGAATACGTTGTTCTTTTCCTGCATATGCTCTACTACGCATAATTCTTCAAAGGTCTCATAGATGCTCTATATAGTCCAGGCTGCTCCTATAGTACATACCCCTTCTATAAGGTTAAGAGGGAAGTCTGGGAATAACAGCCATTTGTTATAAATATAGTCACGTATTCTCCCTATGTTCAAAGCAAAACCCCTCTGGCTGCTACTAACGATTATTATCATTTCATCTGGTATTAATTCATCGCCTGTGTTATGAAATGACAAAAAATGCCAAATCAAGATTCTAGAGCCCAAGGTTACATCTTTTAGGCAACACATATTCACTAATAGTCCAAGACCCTCAAAGGTTAAATGTAAGATGATATTAAACAGAAACAATCTCTGCAATGCTCAAAACAGCAAACACTTTACATTTCTGATTCATTAAATGAGGCAAATCACTGTAGATTATTGGCACTTGTAAAGCTTATAGATTATATTATACATTTATATTATAAACAGTATAAATGCTTGATAAATTAGCTTTATGTTGCGAGGAGAAATTGAAGGTATAGTCCAAAAAACAGAACAACTCATATACTTCAGCCTCTGCTCTGAGTGAGGTGTAAACACAGATGTACACTCCCAAGAGCATCTTTCAAGTAACCATGACTGACATTTTGACCCTCGCTTTGGTCGGGTGATCACTGCTCATACATCCTCTCCACTGAGCCCACGGGGAGGAGCACAGTGATGGAAGAAGTATTCACATCCTTAGCTTGAGTAAAGGTATCAACAATACAGTGTAAACATACTCTGATACAACAGTAAAAGTTCTGAATTCAAAATGATGATTACAGTAAAACACAGAAGTATCAGCATACAAATATATATAAAGGAACAGAAAGTTAAAATACTCATCATGTAGAAGGTCCTCTTTCAAAAATGTATTTAGTACTGAATTAGTGATGCATACATCTGACATCATTTTAACGTTGCAGCTGGTAAATGTGGAGCTAATTTAAGATACCTAAATACTCCTTTAGCTATAATAATATGTCATAACATAACATTTTGTAGTAACTAGTCATCATTAAAGGTA